AAAATGTATTTCTGAGAGGTACTTCCCTCCTCTCACACTTCCTCCCCACTTTTCTCTGGTGCTGACTACTGCCAAACTTCAAAGTGATAGCTCGGTAGAGGAGTATAGAGGGAGTCACATGCATCACTTGAGCATATCTTGCTCCTGTTGGTTAGGAGGTGACACATGATAATTTGCATGAGAGACATGTTTGAGTATAACAATTCCAATAGAGGGGAGCGGAAGGTCTGTTTTCAAAGATTTTCTTGAATCTTTGAAGATACGTGTGGAATCTGTGAGGCAACACTCAACCCTTTCTTCTTTGGTTGCTCGTTTGTCTCAGCTGACTCCCATACCATTTTCTATACCTGTTTTTTATCCTGCACCCTCCCATCAATTGGTTCATTGTCTGGCTCATTCTCGTGTTCATTGCCACCAACATTTCAGGTGACTATCAGGTGGTTCCCAGCCCAGTTGGGGCATATTTGTCCGATTTTGTTCACCTGTGGTGGGAGTTCACTCCTGATCCGTGGGTGATAAGGGTTTTGTCATACGGACTTTTTCTTCATTTGTCTCCCATCCCAATATCCTTCCCATTACCTTGGGATCCCACTAATAGTCAGCATTTATCGGAGGCTGTTCTGACTCTTCTCTTCCAGCTTGCTATCAAGCCTGTCAGCTTTCTCTAGGCTTCTTGTAATCCATTCCACCATAAATCCTCACATGTGTTGGTCATGATTCCTCATCCTACCTTGGTCATGGGTTTTGCCTCCTGTGCTCCATCTCTGTGCAATGGGTTCTGAAGGTTGATGTTGCACGGTTCTCGTTGGATTTGCCTCAGTTCTGTGGTTGCTTGAGGTGTCAGCTGATCATCCATCACCTCCAGGTTTTGGGTAGTTCTATACGGAGGATGATGATGTGTGGGGCGAATATTGTCTCACTGGCACTCCACCTCAGGGAGGTTAAGTACCTGAGGTGGATGTTGTAGAGAGTGGAATTGGTCCATTTGTTTTTATATTTGAAGTGAACCACCACATTGGCACATCTCTTTCTACCTTCTTTGGATATTGGTTGTGGATTTTCTCACGTGCTCTGGTAGACTGGTATGGAAATTTTCCCCTTCCATTTTACTTAACTTGAGGTGAAGACAGGTTGGACACACCTTCTATCACAGATTGGATTATGTATGCCTGATGATGCCTGGTTTTGGACTAGAATTTACCTACCAAATACAGTCTGTCACACCCTAGCTACTCTACACGAAGGGATACAACGATTTTAGCTTTTCCCATCTTCCAATCTCTGGCTGGGGACCTTACTTTCATTCTTATCTTGGATTATGATTCTAGTGATTTCAATGGGATGTGGAGTCAGAACACCCACTTTTTCTCTCATTCATTGGCTGTGCTCCTCCCAATTTCTACCAGATTATATGACACCTAACTGGGGAAAGAGTATACCTGGTACAGAAGTGGTGTGAAGAAGCAGTGAACAATGTTAATAGTGGAGTAGTTGGGAGTTTCAAGGCTTGTGGCATACAAAAAATTGCATATAGAGGACATCACTGAATGAGAATAGCTATTATGTGAGAAAAGATAAGTACCTATTGTAAATATATATTTTCAGTGTAGGAAAATTTGTACAAATGGATGTTAATTTTTTTATTGGACTAAGATTTTTTTAATGGCTTTTTTATTTTTTATTTAGTTGGCTAAGTTCATTTGGAATGAAGGAAAAGGTTACAGACTGCAAAATCTTTCTGAATTCTGCTTATTAAAGTCTACCAAAGATTGTGTTACGTGGATTTCAGCTTCCTCATGTGTAAGTGGTTTATAATCTTATCTTTACCTCTTTTTGTGTGTGTGATCATTACTAATGAAAATAACAATGTGAATAAATTTCCTTCCAAGTTGCAAGGCCAACATTGCCTACATGTATCTATCTTTATAACTCAAATCTGTATGGCTGATAAGTGGTAAGGTTAAGAAACCTCAACAAAACAAATACAATATATATATATATATATATATATATCATGAACCATGGTAAAGGTTCATAATAGGGATTGAAGGAATTGCACAAAACCCTAATAGAACGTTTGGGGAAAAAGCACGTTAAACAGTAAAGATTCAGTTCAAACAACACTTTAAAACCTTTACTATTGATTGCTAGGCTGTACACGAAATAAAATTGTGCAAAAAAAAAACACATGTTAGACTTGCAAGGAAAAGCAAATCTGCACAAAACTTCTTTTCTTGCTGGCATACAACAAAAATAGCTTGGTATATTGCTCCCAAACCATTTGTAGAATACTAAATAAAGTACTGCAAATGGTTGTAGTGGTACTGAAAAGTCGATTTGTTTCTTCTGTATTTTACATAAGTTAAAAAACATCATACTTCTAGTGTAAACAATGTTATTATTACCCCTTGAAGTTAGCTGTTGTTCCTTTCAAAAGCTTAAAGCTAAAACAGAATTACTAGCCAATAATAGATGAACATTAGATGACTGTAATAAGTAGATACTCAGTGCTTTGTACACTATGCATTCGATGATTTGAGGGATCCAACACCTATATTATGTATGAAGTGAAGGAGTAAAAAATACTTAATGCACATAATATTAAATTTTATTATGCACATTCATAGAATTATTACTTTAAAAAGTACAAAGATTTATTTCAAGTAATGTTTTAGACGTATATGTTTCATCTGAAAAGGCTTCTTTTCTATTGATAAAGTTTTATATGCACTTAATTGGGGTTTTGTGTTAGTCTAGGCATATATTTGCCCATTGCTATACATTATATATACAATTTAGTTACACAGAAATTATAAATGCTCACTATATTCTTAAATAAATCTCCATGACAATCTCCAGCTCGAATTAATGCAATCAGATAGTCAATAGCTACAGTAAATCATCATGAACCATATTAACTAGCTACTAGCTATGTTTATTATCAGTACATATCAAGTAATCCTTTGCCCATAGTTAAGCATAAAAAAAACTATCAAACAAGATAAATAAAAAATCGGGAGTTTAAAAACTTGCAAATAGGGATTGTAAAAAAGTAAGGAAACAAAGCTGGAGGTACTATAGACATTATTTATTCAAACTACAAAGCTCCTTTTTGACTCAACCAAATGTAATTCTAGGTAACAGCA